GAGTCCTGATTGGAGAAGGAATCAGGAAAGGGAAGAATTGGCTGTTGGTTGAAAATTCGTATGTCATGAAGTCTTGCATCGCTGTAGGTTACAACATGTCTTGGTTCTGTAGCTCGAAGCTGAATTCCCCTAGACAATTTGGTCTCCAGGACCTAATCAAACAGTAAAAATGCAACTTCCCAGCGCTCAAACTAAAGTGCACGAACGACGTCGTGAGTTGATGTGGCTGATTTTTCTTTGTAGGCAAAGCGTCATGAGAAAGGCCCTGGGGGATATGAAAAAAAATGTAAGAATTATATGTCTCCGCCACGAAGTCTCTGCCACTATGGCCTAATAGTTGATAGGCTTAGAAGGGTGTCTGAACAGATTTGTGGTCTATTGGAGTTACACGAGAAGCTGAGGCTGGACGTGGAAGAGGAAATGGTGGCAAAGAACCAGGGACACCAAGCTTGACAACTCAGGACCAGTGGAAGAACTTTTAGTCTATTGCAATGAGTCTGGGATATTTTCCCTCCCTTTTCTATGGTTTCCTCTCAATAGGCAGAAGCTGTAAAGGAAACTTACAGGCTGAAAGACACCATGTGGCAGTGCCGCCTCGAGACTAAGGCGGCACTTCATCAATACTACATTACTCAGTTCGGACAAAACCTGATAATATTGTGCGTGGTCCATGTGAGCCGAACGTTTCTTTCCTTGGGGAAGGGCTTATTTCCTATATCTAAATTCCCACAACCTTAAGCATTACTCAAGATGGTCTTTTTTTCTTCCCTTCTTTTTTGTTGGCCCAGCATTACCACAACCGGCCTGAAGAGATATCACTTTTAGAGGTGCAAGGAGGTCAGAAAAAGGGACTCGCCGACAGTCGGCCGTCAGTCACAACTACCAAGATCAGGCCAGGATCAACGGCATTAACGCCCACGGTGCGAAGAACCATTGAACAGCGCCAACACTTATCCAGACCACGAATTGATTAGATGGGTCAGTACTCTTTGACTCTTACCAACGGATGACGATCCATCTCGATCAAGATGCTGGCTACTTGCTGAGTGATCTTCTCCCTCTGAGCCGGGGTTGCCGCCTGCCAATCTAGTAGCCTGCCGTCGAGCTTTTCCATCAAAATATAGCTGACTCCAACTTCGTTATCAGGATCGGATTCGCTGGCAAAATCAAAGACGACTGGCACAGGAATGCGGGTGGAATGCGGGTGTGGCGTCGGAGATAGAGCATCGTGGCAGCTTCGCTTCGAAGAATGAAGTCGTTGACTTCTTGTGGAGGGGCTGTCGTTCTGTGCAGGCGAAACCGGGCGAGCCACTTCTCGCCGCCGTGGAAAACAATCTCGGCATGGCATCTCTGATTTCCCATCATTCCGGACATGATCGGCTTTGTCGTATTCTCTGACCAAGAGTATACATTGGCATCTCTTTCACCACGGGTTGACACCACTGGTCGCGACAGAATTAGACTTCGCGACGGATGGAAATTTCAGCTCTCATCGAAAGTACCAGATGGAGTCACCTATGATATTCGCCCAGACAACGATGGGCAAAATTTGGAGGTTCTTAAGTCTTGGATTCTGCCGTCCGCTAACGACTTCATTCCGAGCGATGATGATCACTATAAGCCGCCGTCGGGTCAGCCTGAGACTAAGATTCCATATGTCTCCCCATTATTCGACGACTCTGGCTGGATGGACGTCAAAGTGCCCCATGATTGGGCGATAACCGAATCATTCGTCTCACGTTCAGTCACATCTGGCGACATGGCACGCCTGAAGGTGCAGGGAGTCGGCTGGTACCGTCGCCAACTCGATGTTTCCTCGTCTGACGAAAGCAAGTTGATCTACCTCGAAATTGACGGCGCCATGTCTTACGCCATGGTTTGGCTGAATGGGCAACTGATTGGAGGTTGGCCATATGGATATAATTCATTTCGTATCGACCTCACACCTTATATTGATTTAAAAGGGAACAACAACAGCTTGGCCATCCGTGTCGAAAACCCTCAGGATGACTCTTTCTCAAGATGGTATCCAGGGGCTGGTATATACCGCAACGTATGGCTCGTAAAGATCGACAGCCGTATTCACATAGCCCAATATGGTACAACCTTCGTTTCTAGTGAGGTTTCTACAAAGTCTGCGACCCTGGATCTATCGGTGCGGGTCAATAAAGCCACAAATGGGACATCTGACATTACCGTGGTCACTGAGGTCCACAATTTTGACTCACCGAGCGGTAGCGTTGGTAGAAAGGTTGCCACATTCCCTTCAAAATCCCTTGGCGTCTCCGGGGGCGCAACAGTCGAGTTCAATAGCACTACTACTATCTCCAAACCGTACCTCTGGGGTCCACCACCCACCCAACATCCGAACATGTATATCGCTTACACTCGGGAAAGCTTTATTGGATACTTACACCAGCAAATTAGGAATCCGCACGATCAAGTTTGGTGCCAATAATGGTCTCGAGGTCAATGGTCAGAAAGTCTATATTCAAGGCGTCAATCAACACCATGATCTTGGAGCCCTTGGAACTGCTTTCAATATCAGAGCTGCCACCCGCCAGCTCGAGATTCTGCGAGAGCTTGGTGTTAACACGATTCGTTTGTCTCACATCCCACCAGCGCCGGAACTCCTGAGGCTCACAGATGAATTTGGCTTTCTAGTCATTAATGAAATCTTTGACAACTGGGCTGAGGGCAAGCGCGACTCCGACTTCAACCTTATATGAGAAGATTGGCACGAAGCTGACCTACGAGCATTCATTCGCCGTGATCGTAACCATCCCTCCATTTTCATGTGGAGTCATGGCAACGAAGTCCTCGAAGCGAGTCGCGATAAGGAGGTCGCTGTTGAAATTGCCACCGCTCTAACAAATATTGTCACTGAGGAGGATCCAACTCGTCCATCAACTGCATCCATCTATCGGTCCACTCCTGGCGAAGCATTTCCAAATGCCTTGCAAGTCTTGGGAATTAATTACCTCGGAGAAGGAGCTCGTTATGGAGAGGCATACGTCAATCTCACGGGCTACAGGACGGACCCACTGTATAAACCGTTTCACGAGGAATACCCGGATAAGATGGTTCTGGGGACCGAAGTCGCCGCTTCCGCAAGCACCCGAGGTACTTTTACCTTTCCTGTTACCGAGTATGAAAGCTGTCCGATAGATGACAGTCATGGCGGTAACTCGACGAAAAGCACTGTAAGTGGATATGAGCTCTATACAGCCGACTCTGGCTCGTCTCCAGACCGAGTTTTTAGGGCACAGGACGAATATCCTTTCGTTGCTGGTGGCATCGTATGGAGCGGTTTCGACTACCTTGGTGAACCAGTTCCCTATCGCACTACGGCTCGCAGCTCCTATTTTGGGATCGTTGATCTGGCCGGGTTCAAAAAAGAGAGGTTTTTCTTATATCAATCACGTTGGCGTCCTGATCTGCCGATGGCACATATTGTGCCGCAATGGAACTGGCGAGAGCACAGCGGCTTAGTCACTCCAGTCCATGTCTTTACATCTGGTGATGAAGCAGAACTGTTCATAAACGACGAGTCACAAGGCCGGAAGAAAAAGGAAGCCCTCGAGTATCGTTTGCGGTGGGACGACGTTATCTATGCGGCGGGAACTGTCAAGGCGATAACATACAAGAACGGGAGCAAGTGGACTGTCCTCAATCAAAACTACTGGAAATCCCGCGGCCTTGAAGCTTTCCGCCGACCGAATCAAGATCGCTGCAGATGGAGAGGACTTGTCTTTTGTTACGTTGGCTGTTGTTGACAGTGATGGCAACACGGTGCCAGAAGCTGCGAACAAGATTACATTCTCGGTGGACGGGCCGGGAAAGATTGTGGCTACAGACAATGGTTTGCCTACAGACATGAACCGCTTCCCTTCCTCAACTCGAAACGCATTTAGTGGTTATGCGCTTGCTATAGTTTGTGGAGAATCTGGGAGGCCTGGTCAAGTTACTCTCACAGCCCATGCCGATGGTCTCACCGCCGCAACTGTCGTTGTCACAACCTTTTTTTAGAAGTACCTGGACGCTGAGTTAACTTTTCCAGATGGCTTGTAGATTGGCAGCGAAATAATATTTTCAATGTGTGACACTCAACATGACTTGGTAACGACCATATGATGACTCATCACGGTACAGATCCTCACAAGTCCATCGAAGGCGCTCCAGGGCCTCATTAACTTCATTCAGAGTTTTCGTAAGTAGCTGACTTTATGTTGATCTCATGATGTTCAGTGCTATTCAAATAGAAGCCAAACAGATCAATGAGCAATGCGAGATGAGATCAGTCGTTGTAATAATGCCGACTCAACGGACGCTGCTGGGAGCATCTGTATACGCAGTACTTATCACAATCGTGAGTTCAAAGTCCAATGAGGCAAAGGTCCACGTCATCGTTGAGCTAGTCAGGCTCTCAATAAGCAGTATAGTTCTATATATTCCAATGAAAAGAATGAAAGCTCAATATGGCAGAGACTAAGGGAATGGGAAGTGGAAATTCGTAGCCAGATGTACTCACTAAGCCCCTCAAGCAGCCCTCCAGTCAACCATGTACTGTTTCCTAGTCCGGCATAACAAGCATTACAATTTCTCCATCAATCTCCTCCGAGTCAGGTGCTAACATTGATGAGTTTGAGGTTGGAAAAATCAGAACCTAGAATTGCCGCAGACCTTGGAGTAGGAACTTTACTGAACAATATCCAGGTCAAGTCCCTCAAGCTCTCTCTGAATTGGTTCCACAACACGTTCGATCAAATCTCCAAGTGAGCACGAATGCGGGGAACCCCAGCTTCTTTTTTCCCCACTCGGCAGGGTCCAAAATGGTGAGTAGAATTCGCGAAGTGTCTTCAGAGTTGCTGTTAGACTATACCCAAAGTATGCCGCTTTGGCGTCGGATGTGATAATCCGTGGGTATATAGTTGTTTCACCAAGGTACCGAGCAGTATGGATGAACACTCGTAAGAATCACAATCCGTATTTCCTCCGAGAAAGGTGGCAACAAGACCTTCCGATCCCAGAACCAAAGTGTTGATCGCCTCCTGTCGCCGTGAGTCGATCATGGCTGCAAATATTAAATTTGTGCTCCGTCCTGGGTAAACGAGGACTTACCAATGACATTTTGAGAAATGGGAAGATCAAGTGCCGGTAATGGTGCTCGACTCTCCTGAATCGCAGTCTTTGTGATGGATCGAAATGTCTCGGGTTGACGGAATGTACTCGAGATTAGAAGCCAGAGAGGCAAATCTCGATTACAATCCAAAGGGCGACTGTCTTTGAAAGCATCGATCCACATGTTTACGGCCAGCTCAACAGCTTCGTGGCAGTCATAGTAATCAACCAAGACTGCAATCTTTGCCAACATCTCTAGAGTTATCTTGCGGGGTACTTCGCGATTCAAACCGTGTCGGACACGCATTAACAACAGTAATGCTTGGTCATCCCAATCTGAAGCTTCGATATGGCGCAGGCCATCAATGCTGTCAGCTGTGGCCTCTGTCCAGGGGCCGTTCAGCTCAGCCCTGAAATATCGCGAGGCCAATGTTAAGTGTCGCGAGGATAGAACAAACCTGACTGGCGAGCATTCCACGTCCAGAGCTTCTTGAGGCTCCTCGTTGCATATATCGTTGCTTTCTTGATGTTCTTTTGGAGCCGGTACTGAGTCGTCAGTGTGAAGCACGAGATCCGAGATCTCAAATCCCACATCCCCCGCGAATTGGTCCGCTGGTAAGACCTGTTCACTTCGCTCTTATTAGAACGCCTGCGACACTTTCAAATAAATAAAGCCACAGAGTACCGGATGGGGGAACAAACCATGCGCTCAGATCTTGAACCGTAGCTTCCTCACTAACAGCCCAAACAGCGAATGGTGCACACGGACTGCGGAGCTCGAGCAGGACGTCGTCATCCGGGTCAAGCCTGTGAAGGGGCACATTGCTCATTTTATAGATACCGTGAACCACAATTATAGCGCGGTGGTTTCTTTAGAAGCAGATTTAGTGAGAATACGGTACAGCTTTCAAACGATTTCACAAGCATTAATCCGCAATGAGCTGGGTAATATTTGTGAAAGGACAGAAAGCAAAGGCTGTTGTTCTGCGGTGCGACTCTGAACGGTTTTGTTGTTTACAGTTGAGAAATCTGTGGCGTGGGAGACAGTCTCGAGCAACTTTTTATACCCGAAAGCTTCAGTACATTCAAGTGCTGCGATGAGGTTGTTACTCCAAATGTATGAGTACCCAAGTTGCGGGCTTGGGCAGAATCAGGACCCATCTATTGGCCGATTTGGAGGCCTTCCTACTAAGCCCCCTCATTACTTGGCGAAGCATACATGTCATTTGAAAGTCTCCAGGGATGTTTTTGAGCGAACGGGATAATTTCCATAGCCAAATGCCATCAGGCGGTGTGAACGCTGTTTTTCATCTATCTTCTACTGCTATGAAGAGGACTTTCCGGCTTGGGGGGCCATAGACGGACAATACTCCACGGTTCTCATACTGTTTATGGAAGGACAAAGGGCCCACCATCCCTGAGGTGTCTCACGACCCCGCATCTCGACCTCTACTGCAGACTTCCCTTCTCCACAATTAGCCGTTCCTACCCCGTGCTAGAACATGTGCAGCTGACACGCGCTGTCGTGGATTGTGTTCTTTGTAAGCGGACTTTTCATCAGTATTTTGAGAGCAAGCACCAGAATTATATACGATGCCGCCGACCTTTTGCGTGCCGCGAGAATCCGCCAACATATCTTCGCCGAAACACCACAGATGTCAGCAGTGCTTACATAAGCCTAAATACCAATCAGCGGAGGAGCCGGATGATCACCACGGCATTTTGCACTGTTCCTGCGAACCATGTCGCAAGCCATTCAATGTCAAGAGGCCGTCACACGTAGAATTATCCCTACACTAATTGCAAAATGCCTTCAATCTAACTACTCACACCGACAAGATTAAAAAATTGGTTTCGCCTCTCGCTATCCTGCTCAAAGCATCCTATCAGGCAGCTTGTCAAGGTCTTGGCTCCGGTCTTCTCAACGCCCCGCATCACCATGCACATATGTCTGCACTCCATGACAACTGCTACGCCCCGTGGCGCCAGTATATCCATGATAGCCGTGGCGACCTCCTTGGTCAGCCGCTCCTGGATCTGCAGACGACGGCAGAATATTTCAGCAATTCGGGGGAGCTTTGAAAGGCCGATGACAGTGCCAGAAGGGACATAGCCGATGTGCATCTGGAAGTTGGAGTGAGCCTTTATCCTGCAGGTTTAAAGTCTGGAACTCATGCAGAGAAAGAGAGGTGCCTGCCTTGCCAATAAAGGGCACGAGGTGATGCTCGCAGAGACTGGAGATATCGATGTCTTTGACAATGACGATCCCGTCGTGACCCTCGGGGAAGAGGGCGTTGTTAGCAGCATCCTGCACATCGTCTTGATAGCCCTTGGTCATGAACAGCAGAGCCTTGGCGTAACGTGAAGGTGTGTCCAGCAGGCCCTCACGATCAACGTCCTCGCCGACGCACTCTAGCAGAGTTTTGACAGCACCTCGCATCTTCTCAAGCTTCACAGCGAGCTTTGTCTCGTCCTCGTCTCTGTGTTCTTTGCTTCCATAGGCTAAGGAGTGGGAATGTCAGCTCGAATTCCTTCTAGAAACACTAAATCCAGAGGCCTCTTGTACAGCAGAGAACAGAAACTTACTCAGACGGCTAATACCGTCGAGCTCGGTCTTTGGGCCTCCCTCAATCACCGCCCTACTCCCTGGAACGGAACCTTTCTTTTCAAGTCTTCCGTTGGACTTGCAGAGAGAGTTCTCGCAATTTGCAGGGTCGCACATTCTTGAATGATCTGCCGCATCTTGTATATAGTCAAAATCGTTGTGTTTGTCACTCGCGCAGCGTTCCGCCGGCGGATCGTCTTCAGTCGGTGAAGCGAGGCTAGCATGATCGAATATTCTCTTCTTAAGGCCATTATTGCTGCACGATCAGTTTCAATTGGCAATATGAGGCGAAATGTGGGGACAACAGCACAAAAATAAAAGAGGATCGTGACGGAGGTCGGGTTGAATGCGCAAGCGACCTGAAGTATATTATAAATGGACACAGCCAAACAAGAAACAATGTTGCTCCTTAGCTACAACGTCACGATCAGACATACTGTTGTGCAGGTACATCGGGAACACCGTGCAGGTTCAATCAGGATGAAGCCTAAACGAGTGATAGCCCTTCTGTTCCTCTTACACGGCAGCTTCTACGGTACACGGTAAAGTCCATCTGTGAAAGTTCAGGGAACGCAGCCCATGCATTGTGTTTGGACTGGTTTAGGATATCTGCTCTGCAAAAACATACGTTTGAGACTTCCGTCTTCTACTGTGAATGTAATGATTCCTTCGTACCACCCGATGCAATCGCTTCGCCTTCAGCACAAATTAAAATACAGTCTGGCCCGTCACAATATTCGTAGGGCATGATAGGTCATATCCGAACTCGGGTAACAACATGCAGGAGGCCATCCATAGGTAGCAACCTCTGCAGCAATTCGCGGGAGTCTAGATCTCACGCGAGTTCATCCTGATCAGGATGAGGCGGCCACCGCTTAGCAACATGCAGGAGGCCGTCCGTAACATGCGGGAGGCCAGCTAGCACAATATGCCAGAAGTCATCCGCGGCAAGATCGGCAGTAACACACGGCATGCTAGGTTTCACGCGAGAGGTCATCCTCATCAACATGCGGGAGGCCATCCTCGGTATGAAGCAGGAGGTCGTCGGCGCCTACATGGATCCTCTGCAGTGACATGCAAGAATTCATTCGCAGTGATATGGTGATATGCAATTGGCTATGTCCCACAATTTCGTAAAAAAAAACAAAAACGGGAAGCCCAAACACGCTTTGCACGCTTTGCACGCTTTGCAATATATTTGCCATCAATCTACTGGCCAATTCTGAAATCTTTGTACCCGATTATGTCGGGCATGACTACATACAAATCCTTGTCACTTGGCCACCTGCAGGCTACGAAATTGTTGGCATTCGTCCTGATCACACACCTCTTGATCAATTAGAGGAAAAGAAGCGGAAGAATTTTCGGGTCAGTCCTTCTGGGTACTAACGTACACCAAATGAAATTTGGCTGCTGATAAGTCATAATGTAATCTCTCATGGCTTCAAAGCCTACGCTTTTATTTCTTCTCCTCCCCATGGCGTCAAAGCCGAAAAATAATGACTGCGGTTGAATTCGAACAAATATAATTTAGTACAGCTTTTGCCCTTAATCAAAAATCTATCACAACACGGGATCTACGAGATGGCCACACTCGAAACTCTAAAGTCACATCTACGGGGATCCACTGCAATGAAGCAGTCCGCAACGAAGTCATTGTCCCCTGCACAATACAGCGCTGGCTTCGAGATCTTGGTGCAGGGCCCAGGATGGATGACCTACCGAGACTTCATTGTGCCTCAATTGTCTCTTCTCCTAGCTCCCCTCATCCATTCGCGCATCGACATCTCGGTGCTAGAGATTGGGCCCGGCCCAAAGAGCGTACTCGGAAATCTGCCCGGTAATCTGAGAAGGAGCATTAGGAGATACACTGCATTTGAGCCCCATGGAGATTTTGCTTCAAGATTGCAAGATTGGGTTGGCTCAACGTCAGAGACAAGATCCCCATTCCCCTGCCTGGAGAGCCCATCCAATATCCATCGAAAGCCATTCGGTGTCGACTACAATACTGGCAGCGGTGTCGGCTGCAAGACGAGTGATGTCGATGAGAAGTTTGACGTCATCCTATTCTGTCATAGCATGTACGGAATGAATCCCAAGGGCAGGTTCATCGAACGAGCGCTGAAGATGCTCGATGAGCGGGTTGAAGGCGGGATGGTTGTTGTTTTCCATCGAGAGGGGACGCTGCATACCGACAAACTGACGTGTAGCCGGACAGCTTCCTTCCCGGCCGGAGTCACTCGCGTGGCGGATGAAGACAAGGCACTGGACTGTTTTGCGGCTTTCATTGCCGGATTCGTTATGCTGGATGCAGATGCTGACAGGGCTGTCCGAGCCGAACGGCGCGATTTGTGCCGCACCTTGGGGCGTCGCGCCGAGACGCACCCCGATCATCTTGTGTTCAGCTCTCCTAACACAATGGTGGCCTTTACCCAGCATGCGGCCACGTTGCCGGAGCTGCTGGCACAGGTACCATTGTTGAAGGAGGATAAGGTGATCAAAAACCCCGAGGCTCGCCTGCACCGTGCTGCTTCGATTGTCAAGCCGACCGAGGTCCAAAATGTCCAGCGATGCGTTCGATGGGCCATGAAGCACCGCGTCGGCCTAACCCTGCTTGGCGGGGGGCACAGCGGTCACTGCCTTTGGCCCAACGTCGTTTCGGTCGACATGAGTGCCTTTGACCAGATACATATTCTCACGGATGAGGAGGACAGAGAGGGATCCAGGTCCGATCCTGCCCCCGTCGTCATCGCCGGAGCGGGCTGCAAGACGGGCGACATCGTCCGCGAGACCATGGCGGTGGGCTTGACAGTGCCCTTGGGTTCCCGGCCCAGCGTAGGCGCGGGACTGTGGCTTCAGGGCGGTATTGGGCACTTGGCCAGACTGTATGGGCTCGCGTCTGATGCCATAATCGGCGCCGTAGTAGTCAGCGTCGACTCTGGCGAGATACTCTGCCTCGGACACGTACCAACCCCACACCGGCCGGCCGCTGCCAAGCGCCCGCAACACGAAACCGATATGCTATGGGCAATCAAAGGCGCTGGAACCAATTTTGGCATCGTCATTAGTGCGACTTTCAAGGCGTTCGCGGCTCCAGATTATCTGCTCCGAACTTGGTTGATTCCTCTGAGCGATGCCCAGTGGGCGCGGAACAAGCTCGCTGACTTCGATACAGTCGTCGCTAGTAGACTTCCTCGGAGTTGTTCGGCAGACGCATATTTGTACTGGGACGATGGCCAAGTGCATCTTGGTGTGACCGTGCTTGAAGCCTCTACGGAGGGCCCGACCTTCCGGATGCCTACGTCCATGCTTACATTTCTTGGGGCGGAACACAGCCACAAGGCCGTGGACGGTGTCGGCTTGTTTGAGACCGACTTATACCTGTGTGGTATGCACGGCGGACACGGCGGCGGTAAGACCTACTCTTTCAAGCGATGCGTATTCTTAAAACACATCGGAGCAGGGAGCATCACCGACGTCCTGGTAGCAGCCGTCGAGACTCGCCCATCGCCGCTCTGCTACCTTCATCTACTACACTGTGGCGGAGCGGTCCGTGACGTGGCGGCTGATGCCACTGCTTTCGGCTGTCGCGATTGGAATTTTGCCTGTGTCGTAACCGGCGTCTGGCCTCGCAACCTGGATGGAACCGACACCGCCCAAGCTGCAGTGCGTTGGGTTTATCACGTCGTCAGGGACTTATTGCCCTTAAGCGTGGGGGCTTACGGAGCCGATCTAGGACCGGACCCTAGAGATATCTCGCTGGCGGCCGAGGCCTTTGGGCCCAACCAGCCGCGGTTGGCCCGTCTAAAACACACCTGCGACCCACGCAATATGCTGGCTTACGCCTGTCCGCTCCCGAGAGCGCCGACGAGACAGCGCCTCGTCATCCTTGTCACGGGCGAGAGCTGCGCGGGCAAAGACTATTGCGCCAGCATCTGGGTCGAAGTGTTGAACAAAAACACCCAGAAGGCCCTCACAGCACGTGCAGTTAGTATTAGCGATACCACCAAGCGAGAATACGCAGCGGCTACCGGGGCCGATCTGAAACGCCTGCTTTGGGACCGTGGCTACAAGGAGCAACACCGGCCGGCGTTGACGATGTTTTTCCAGCGTCAGGTGCAGCAACGACCTCGCCTACTGGAGGAGCATTTCCTTAGTGTAGTGCACGGCGCGACAGATGTAGACGTGCTGCTAATCACCGGAATGCGTGATGAGGCGCCGGTCGCGGGCCTGTCGCATTTAGTTCCGGGCAGACTGATCGAGGTCTGTGTCACCGCCAGCGAGGACACGCGGCGTCTTCGCCGAGGCTGCCACATGAACCACGACGGTGGTGACGATGGTGGTGGTGACAGGGGTAACAAAGGCAAGATCAATAGCGGATCCCAGTTGGCGGACTTGAAATGCAGCCCCAGTCTCGTCTTCGATAATGACGAGTTAGGAACGGAGGCGCCAACAGAATTTGCCGAACGGCGCCTGCTTCCCTTCTTGCAACAGGACCTGCAGCGACTGGCCGATATGGTGCGCCTGGTACCGGACTTTCCACGCTCAGGCATCGAGTTCCGCCATGTGCTTGGCATCGCTCAACAGAAGCGGGGGCTCACCCTCTGCACATCGCTGCTGCAGGCTCACTTTACCGGAGATTGGTCCCGAGTCGATGCAGTGGCTTGTTGCGAGGCGGGCGGCTTCATTTATGCGTCGGCGTTGGCCGCACATGTTGGTGTCCCCCTGGCGCTGATTCGCGAAGCCGGCAAGCTCCCGCCACCTACGGTTTCTGTTCCCAAATCCCAGTCGCATATCTCGTCTATGGCACCAAGCAACTCTAGGGAGCAGAGGATCGAGTTGGGCCGGGATGTAGTCTCCAAAGGCTCCTCAGTGGTGGTTGTAGACGATGTGCTTGCTACAGGGGAGAGTCTCTGCGCGGTGCTGCGACTATTAGGTAAAGCCGGCACCAATACCGAGGATGTGAGCATTATGATCGTGGCCGAGTTCCCTATCCATCGTGGTCGGGAGCTGCTGCGCAGGCATGGTTTTGGCAAAGTCAAGGTTCACAGCCTCTTGGTCTTCCCAGGTGTCTAGAAGGAACCTCGGCGCTTTTGGATCAAGGTAGAGAAGGTTGCATGAGGATTATAGTGATTGAGCCTTTGCACCATTCATAATTCCTCAAAAAGGCTTGGTCACTTCGTGGGTCCAAAGGGCCGATCGCCGATGGCATTTTTGACACAGTTGTTGACCATACGGCTCTGCTGTTTTTTACGCCATATTTTACGGACACAGTTAATTGCATTTGAAACGCCGAGGACGCCAGGGAGTTCTGGTGGCCAATGACTTCTTGCGTCCAACCGCCAAGTATGCTTCCAGCCAGGTCAATTCGTGTTAATTGGTCTGCCCAGCCCTGCCCCACACGTTACGCCTATGTCTTGCCAGCCACCTCCACAGCCTGTCATCTTTTCCTGCTTTGCTTGACTCAACCAGCCACCTCTTTCCAATCCCCTCTCCTATCTCGAAAGCCTTCCGTCATAGTACTGGGCGCCTCGCTCTGCTTCACCTTCTTACGCCAACATCAATACGTCCTCGCATTTATCCCTTTCATCATTTGCTTCAGCCTGAGTTACCTCACAAATCGACGCTGGAAGTGCTGCATTGCACTCCGCAGCACGCAACTGAGGACGATCGTCAACGGCGCTCAATGCTACGCTACATGGTTGAAGAATCTGGGTTTTGGTCAAGCGTTACGTGGCTCATTGACGTGTGTGCACCAAAGGCCTCGTATTACACGTGTGTCTGTTGGTTTATACAGTCAAAACTGCTCCGTACTTCTGCCGCGCCATCACCATCGCAGATCGGAAGCCTATGGGAATTGAGCTGCCAAAACTAGCCGTCCTCAGTGCCGCCGTTGTTCTAGAGGGCAGCCTCGGATGCTCGAACTCGACTCTTTCGCCACGATTAGATTGCTGCGACGTATCTCTGGGGCCAAGGCTGCCCAACCGCTACATCTAAAGCCTGGGAGGGTGGGCATCCTGATATCAGGGGTTTCGTTTTACATGCGCCGAGTTTCCTCCTAGCGGCCGTTCTGGCGCCCTTGCTCCGAGCTATGTTCATATGGTATACTGACGCTGGCTCATGATTTAGGCAATGCTATGGGTACCTTAGCTCCCGCCTCGTCCTCACCCCTGTCGCCCATTATCCCAAATGCTCCTGCTGTGGTCGAATGGAGCGACATCGCGTCCAGGCCTCGAGCTCCTCACTACCTCGCTGACCCGCACCCATCCTCCGTCCAGCTGAACTTGCTCTTCAATGAAGAGCAAAACACTGTGTCCTTCAAAATCCGGGTTTGGCTCTATTTTGAGCAGCCATCGGGTGGCGAGAGGAAGGAATATGTCTACATCCGCGTTCATCCCGAAAATGTCCATTTGCTCCTTCCGGACGCAACACATCATCTCCCAGAAGGGATTGCTGCTGCAGTGCGCGGTCCTACAGCGTATTTTCACCTCGTGTTGAACAAACCTGTTTCGATCCTAGCTCCTTTTGATGCCCCTGTACCGCTCCGATCGGAACGCAGTTCTCAGCTTCTGGATTCCTTAGAAGAGCTGAGTCGGCAAACTGTTCTGGGTATCCACATCGGCCAACACATCATCTCTGATCCAGATGTGGTGCGACGAATATGTGACGCATTTACTAGTGGCTCAATAAAGCAGCATCCGAGGCATGATTCTCTGCGCGATTTCTACAGAGGTCGTGGTGCTAGAGTAGTCCAACAACTCGTTGGCTCTGCAGTATCTGGAAGCGAAAAGCCGGGAATGAGGACGGAGGAACACGGGGCGGATGGCCATCCCGCGAGTCCTCCTCCGTACCCAGAACCTCTTGACCTGCCGCCCCCCTCGCTCTTCGCACAACATTCCCGGAAGAAGCGGCAGCGGTCTCCCGAAGATAGCCACTGAAGAGGCGGAAGCTGTCTTCCGAAGATTCAGGCACAATCCACCCATCTTTCAGTAGCGTTTGCGCCGAACTTTTCGCTCAACAGAAAGCACAGACCACGGAGTTCGTCTTGTGGCAGCAAGCTCAGATGTCGAAGTTTGTCGAGCAACAGCAAGCGCAGACGCATCATATTCTTGGTCGCATGGATCATGCAGTACAATGCATGGAGAGCCGGATCATCGGACGGGTCGAGAAGCATCTCCGCGACGAGTCAGATAAGACAGATGACCAAGATTCTAAGAGACAAGAGTGGGGGCAGCTCATACAAAATCTTGTTGAGAAAAGCATCGTCAATCTGGAGTTGCAGCTAGAGGCTAGCCTTGAGGCAAATCTGGAACGTGGGAGGGAAGACCTCAAGTGTGAGCTTAAGAATGAATGCCTTGACGAGCTGAAGGACGATCTACAAGAGGGCTTAGTATCCATAATTCTCCCCAGATAGTTCAGCTGCTTCCTCAATTGCGAACGCGTGCTCGCATACCGTGAAAAGCAATTGTACAGTCGTGTCATTGTTGTGCGACAATAGGTAACCGGGGTGGTTGCCAAGTCGGAGCCTGACTAGAATGGATGAAGGATCATCTACTTGAGCATGGCGGCAATTCTAGAGGCATCGCAGCCTGCAGGTTTACTTTTGAGGCTACAAACCTCGACATTCAGGCTTCGCATGTGTAACCCAGAGGCGGCACCCTTACAAACCCCTCCATCGCCCCTCTGTGTTTTTTTTAACCTATTGCTGAGTCCCACGGTCTCATCCGCGGACTCCAGACCTCCTCAATTGTGATCATTCATTCTATGTAGTGAAGCAACTACTCAGTAAGCCATTGCCTATTTGCGCCACGATGTCCATCATCAGCAACGGTATCACGAGGCGACTCTATGACGATGCTCGAGTTTTCGACGAACCTGCAGCAACACGGCTCTGCGCCATTGGAGGTGAAAGAATGAGTACGAGCATCTCAGCAACCTCCAACCTACAGCATTCCCGATCTGAGACGTGTTGGTCTTATTGATGAGCATATTGACATCGAAGGCAGTGTGCCAGACAAGGTTCTCATAATGGAGGCTAAGAAACATGGCGCAACTGCAGCGGAAGTTCGAGAATGCGAGGCGCATGCCAACACCTTCAGCCTTCATGAGGGACCACGCCCGGTATGGTACTAAACCCACAACAATTACTCCCGATTCCTTTCCTCCCAGGGGTCCGCGACTTGGGACATCTGGACTAACTCTATCTCGACATTGCGGAACATGGCCAAAAAATCCTCGAAGCCTGCGACTACATCAATGGTCATCATCAGCCTCCAGCACGTCTTCTTCTACCCTATTCGCCACCCACTTCCCCACCCGGAGCTTCGTCTGAGCATGCAAGTAGCCCGACATCCGCTGCTCAAGCCGCCCTCAGAGTCAAGGCATCAGCAAGAGAATCCTATTCCGCTTAGTCAGGAGCACTGGAAATCAGTATTGCTGGCTTTCGTGGTGGGCCACATCTGTCACAGCGTGCCGGCGGCCTTTTAAGTTAGTATTACTGGGGCGGTTGGACAATCAACCCTCTCGAGAGCTTGTTACATCACGAGGATACGTTCTCGTAGATCATGCCAAAACAACGTTTCATTTTTGGAAACGAGTTGGTAAAGAATCCCTAATAAAGTACGCGTCATTGGCATCCAATTTCTTTGATCAAAGGAGAGCGGTCCTCGGTACATTTGCAGCAATACGAACTTTCTAGATAGCTAATTGGTTACAGATCTGGAGCACGACGACACAGACGGTCGCTTCGACGCTGAACTTTCGTTTTTGCACGTTTCTTTACCCCCACTTGTCTGCTTTTTGCTTTGACATGGTCGAGATTTGTTGATAAGGTCACTGTTTCCTTCTGCTCATAAGGCTCCACAAGTCCTACATCAGAACTCGCTAGTTTCATAAGCAGAAGTGCATTTTCGGCCAGTAGCTCCTTCTGCCGATCTTGCAGAATCTGAATTCTTCTTTGCAACTCAGGGATCTGAGCCTCATAGTACTTTCTGTACTCATCCGCCCAGCTCCGATAATGAGCAGATAAGGAGTACACATGGTTGTAGGTATCGTTCTTGTACTTCTCAACAGCATAATATGAGTCAAGAAACTTTTCAAGTATATGCTTTGTAGGAGGCAGTTCGTTCTGCAACATCCGCTCAGGCGGTACCAACTCCTGTTCACAGTCAATACAAATTACACGAGGCCACATACGTAAATCCTACCTTGTCATTGTGCTGGATTTCATTTTGGGAAGCCATGCCTTGAAAGTTTCGAACAGTGGAAAATGTTCTCAAGGACAGTGAAGAATGTCCTCAAGAACTGAATAACAAATGGCGGATCAATGCAAAGTGAAATCCTTTATACAACGATTGCCTGGGCCAAGATCTGGGAACGATGCTTGATTCTTATCGCCATTAGCAGACTTTTTGGCAACAAGAAAGTCTCCGCGCACACACAGAAGCTCGTACAGTACCTTCTTCTCCCAATAACACTGGACACCCTTTTGATTCAAATCAGGTCCATCAATGGACGAGCCTGCGCCCGATCTGTCACGACTACTTCTGCCAAACGTGGAGCTTCAAGATGGTAAAATCCATTTTTAGACAATACTCCACATGCCCTGGTCCCTTCCCCCCCAAAACAAAAAAAAATCCAAACCCAAATCTAAAGTCTTTAGGACATCGTCGGGGATTTGCATTCTGCGTAAATTTCCAGCGCGGGGCGCCATAGCCAAATTGTCCGCAGAATGTGATTGGCTACAGTTCTTGTACAGTAAGTTATATATAGCTGCATACTAGTCACCCGTTCGGGCTGTGCTCGGTCAGGGTCTAAAATTAGGCAGCTTGAATGACGAAGTGAGAGCTTGATTCAGTCTCTACATGAATTTAACCACCTAGGCCCTAGATGCAGGCCCGACATGGGCATCGCGATGTCCGAGCTATGAATATGTGACTAGTCACCAAAGCTGTCAATGACTCTCTACTCATCAAAGGTACAATTAATTCCCCTTGCCAATTAAGCTCTAGGCAGCGATGGCTTGTTCTGCATTGAAGTGCTATTTTGCATCTAGTCAACGAGGACGGCCAGTCCCGGTAGTGGGATGAACAGTTTATTACAAGCAAGGTCTGCGGGTCAGAGCGCGGATTGATCACGCCAGTAGGCTCAGAGCCACTCGATCACCATCTGTCATATCTCTTAATAGCGAGGACCCAAAGCCGTCGCAGCTTCAAAAAAAAAAATTTTGGGGGCCGTTCCACATTCTGAGCTGCAATATCTTTGAATCCATGGACAGGTCTTGTATTGGTCCCTCCCTCACTGGGATGGTGTGGCCCAATATACAGCGAAGGGCCACCATCGATTCCCCATTAGGGTCCTAAAGTGGTCTGCACTTGACCATCGCCAGCCAATACGTCTAACACGAATATATAAAAGGTCAAGCATGGTCTGCGTGCAGTTTGAGCCTATCTGAAATGTTCAACCGTCCCAACTAACCAAGTTTGACTCCATAATAGCGTTACAAAGATGTCGAGAGCATATCCATTTCCGACCCGGATCCTGGTACGGTCTTCTCCTTCAACTATTGATGGCGGATACTAACAACCCCAAGTTCCACGCAAGCTTCCTCTACCTGGGCTCATTGATTTTCCAATATCGAGAATCAAGTGGAGTTTTGTCGATCGCCATGTTCTTCTCGGCCTGGATGATTGTTGCTGTCCTAGCGTGGTTTCCTCTGCTTAAGCCACTCGTAACCGATGTGATCCACCACCCATTGTCATATCTGGCTGGGCTCACCGCGCTT